CCTGTTGATCATGTTTGGTGGATTTTTTAATAGAATCATTGTAATCAATATTATATTACCTTTTAATCTATATAAATTGTATTAAAAATTGTTGTCACTATTTTTTTCACCTAGTTCTACTATGCCAGCCATCAGAGGTATACATTTTGTAACATCTCTTTTAGGTTTCATTTCTTATTTTTGTGAATTTCTATATAAAATGCAGATTTCTACCTGAAATGCTTATGTATTTTTAATTACATTTTGACATTGACTTTTTCAGCTGAATAAATATTATAACTCTCGATGGTTTTGTTCAGCATTGCCAGCTTCACTGTTGAGCTTTATGTTGTGCCCAGCATTCTCCTGTGCTCTGAAATCAAAACGTGTTGTGCCCACATGCAAAGGTTGTAAACTCTGGCTTATACCTGCGTGGTATTATAGTAATAGCAAACAGCAACGTTCAACTACTTTAATGGTATATTGCAAGTGCAATGAGAAGCTACAGGGACGTTAATCTACGTCGGTAATATTAACGTTATTTAATACAAGATTTACATCATACAGCCCATGTAGTATAATATTTTACAAATTATGAATTACAGCAAACATGTGCAATATATCCATTATTACAGCTCCGTGGGTCCATGGGTAAAGGTAAAACTCATGTAGTACTGAACACGTCACATCACATGAACGTGCCGGGCGGCGCGGTCCCGTGGGTTAGATGCGCGTTCATAATGCAGAGGGAAATAACTCTCAGAATAACGTTATTAGCACATTTTACAACTTGAGGAACGAATGTTTTTAATAAGGGCTATACAAGTATTCATACTGGGTAGTTTATTTAGTTTAAAAAAAATTATCCAACGATTTACAGATCACTCTTTCCCCATGTAAGTCAATGGGAAAAAGTGTTTCCGGGCCTGGCAACCAAACGGAAGTGTAGTACCACCGTTTGGCCACCACGAATATTTTCATCTGAGTCCGGCGCACTTCCTGGGGGCTTGCATGCGCAGTGCGGATCGGGCAGTGACACTGGTGATGAAACTCCATTGACTCGCCATTCACATTTTTAATCATTGTTCCACAATGTTTATCATCATGAAATTAATATCTATATATTTTATACTATACTTGCACTGCTTACCGTTTTCATACTTTATATATCTTAGCATATTCATATACACTGTTAATACTGTTCATACTGCTCATAGGCTACTGTGTATATCTAGTGTATTCATACCCCTCACTGTTTATTCATCATTCAATTCATTCTATATTTTATTCTGTAGATTGTGTACATTACTTTTCACTTTACTGCTTTTTGCACTCGTGGTTAGAAGCTAAACTGCATGTTGTTGTCTCAGTACCTGTAATCTGCAATAACAATAAAGTTGAATCTAATCTTGAGCAGGAACAAATGTATTTACTTAGTACATATCTGACATTAACGATTATACACATTTGTGCCAGTGGCGTAACTATCGACGGTGCAGCCGGTTCACGCAGTCTTCAAGGTAACCAAGCAATCTAAATTAATTTGTAATTTGTCTGTCCAATGACCTTGCTCCCTTTCATGTCATGTGATACCTTGCGTGACGAGCGAACCGTTTAATCAACCTGTACTGTACTGTAGCTAGCAGCAGCAAGTTCGGCAGCATTATAAAAAATGTAATAGCTTGCATTTATAATGTACAGCAAACCAAAGCACAAGAGCAGCGCTCAAAAGAGAAAGGACAAGAGAGAACAAGGAGATGTAACAGCTAAACTGACAAAATTAGAGAGTTTTTTTTGTCATACATCGTCCTCGAAATAGAGCGCTAACGTTAGCAGTGTTGACGTGCAGCGGCAGCCGGAGCCGGAGCCGGAGGCTATCGATAGCTCATCTGCCTCACCACCATCATTGCCATCTAGCTCCACAAGTGAAGCTGTACCCGTGGCCGTGGCTGTGCGACCTTCTTCTCCAGCCAGCCAGGAGGAGAGGCTGGATTTGGCTGTGCCCGGCGGTGGTCCAACAGTTCCCCCAAGGGCCCCAACCGATAGGGGACTCTATGGCGCTATTGAGACCCCCGACGCCAAGATCAAAAGCTATATTATAGCAACCGGTCTATGTAGGCCTACCGGCCCATTCCCCAGAGACAAACATCAAGGAAACAGGTTTAATCCTCTTCTTAGTTCGCTGTGCCGTTGTCAGGCTGTGGTGGTCTGAGGCCAGGGCAGGCTGTTGTCGATAGCCTATACATGTGGCGCTTCTGAGTGGTTGTGTATGTCCGTGCATGTGTGAGCGCATCAGCGTGCGCTTATGTTTGGGGCGATGGGGGGGGGGGGGGCCCAAAACAATATTTGCACCGGGGCCAATCACAACCTTGTTACGCCACTGATTTGTGCATTCTTTATAAATGCAAACTGGTCAAGACCACTGACGGAAGTAGTTTTGAAAAGTAATAAGTGGTTCTGTCTTTTACATGTAGGATTCAACCCCCCTTGTATTGATTTGTTTTAAAATGAACAGACACTTGAGTCATTCATTTGTAGTGATATAATAATTGTGGGATTTCTATTGCATCCACTTCATCTGCAACGAAGAACGCCAACGCAATTTCCGCCATTGCACATCGAGTCAAGCCGACTCCGAGCTGTCCGACTTCAGGCGAGCTTTTTGAGACCTCCCCCGGCTGCAATCGGCTATAGAGTGGCGAAGTCCCTCCCCTTCCGGTTGAGCCCCATGGGACCTTATTTCGGAAAAGTTATGCATTGAAGTCAATGGAGAGAGAAAGATTATCTTTCGATCCCGTTTGAATTGTGCCACGAATTACACATATGTTTGTCAATTTAAAAGATAATTTTGCAAGTAAAAAAAAATAAAATGTGTCGTAAAACTGTGAAGTAACACATTTGTTTGTGTGAAACGCTAAATGAACTACATCTCTGGTCAACCACACACGTCACCAAGATGGCCGTCACTACTGTCTTGTCAACAAACGATTGACTATCACCACAATGAAACACGTCCTGAAGAATGTCATGCAAAGCTGCCTGCCTGCCTTCCTTTGATTCTCTCTGAACTGCCTGGTCGTTTTAATGTTTAATGTCAACCATTTGTGCAGATAGCATGAAGTAGAAAAGATCGCCGATGCTAACGTTAGCGTTAGCATTTCTCCCCCGGAATTAAATGGTGTATTATAGAATGATCACACCGGTGACAGTACTATTCAAAGGGTTCACGAAATATGACTACTACTCTTACTGTTTAACATTTTGGGTTACTTAATGTTACTTCATGTTAAGGCTAATAAAAATGACAAGGCTGTAATGCTAACTAACGTGCTAGCTACTAGCTAGGTAGCTAACTTGATCAAGTCGTTTCATCAGACGGGAAGCAAAAGAACGAGCAAGACCCATTGCTGGTATAATAACAACCTGGTACTAAGCACACAGGCATCTTGTTAAAGTTATCTTATCTTAGCCAGCGCCATATAGATAGATTATATCTATATTGCGCTGATCTTAGGTATCTGAATGGTGGAGGTAAACAATTGTGACATCACTTACGCGACTCTGGGATTTGTAGTCTTTCTAGTTACGTATTTTTCATAGTCTTATATTTCAACAGTTTTACGACAAACTGTGACTTTTTTGACATGGAAATGATTTTTTAAGATTGACAAACATCATATGTGTAATTCATGGCACAATTCAAACGGGATCGAAAGATAAGTTTTCTCTCCCCATTGACTTCAATGCATAATTTTTCCGAAATAAGGTCCCATACCCCGGAAGTAAGTGGGAGGGATTTCGCCACTCTATTCTCGTTTACTTTCGAGGCGAGCCGCAGCTCATCTCAAACAAGCCTAGTGGTTTCTCCTCAATGCGCTAATGCGCATGCCCACTACACTGTGCTGCCTTCACGTGTTGTCGGTGGTCGCGACTGAAGCGCTGTTGTAGGGATTATGTTATATTTTATATATATATTTAAACATCCATGATTATTTGTGTGTGATGGAAACATTTCTGACTTTCTGGCATCATTGATTCAAGACCGCCTTAATGTAAAATAAATAATCTCAAATGTGAACGTACCAAAGATAATAGCCCATTACCCTGCCAAAACATATTTCTATAAAGATTTGTTTTCCTATTTGTAATTGCCTGCTTGATTGATTGGCATTAAAGCTTGCATGGTGCAAGCTTTAATGCCCACCACAAGGTGTCACGGTCCATGCAAAAACAGGGCATGAAGACCGGCTGCCTATACTCTCCTCCTACTGCATATTCATTGTTTTATAATACAATCCTGTTAAAGACAGTTTGGTCATTGGTATTTAAGCCTACGATTTGGAATCGTTAGCAGATTTAGACTTATACCTTTTGTCTCTCTGCAGCAGAAAGGTGACTATTCTCAGCAGTTCAAGTTTAGCCATTCATCACGGCGTTATTTATTAGATGCACACAGGTCAAGAGACTTAAGGACAGAGAGAGAAGGGGCGTGACTCCAACGGTCTTATACCCCAGGTAGTGACATCACAATCATGTGCTACAGCGCCATCCAATGAACACAGTAGTAGTCGCAGCTACTTACATAAACAATATGGTACACAGTATTACATGGAGTCATACAATATACATGTCTCTGTATGTTATACCTCAACAGTAATACAAACCTTAAAACTAGAGGCAATCCTTTACTATATTCACTCTGTCTCATCAGGTATGAAGGGGGAGGGGTTTCAATCACATCACCTGATTCATCTGTTCTAACGTAACGTCTTAGAACGCAAAATGTCCCTTACACCGTGGCCAAGCTGATGCATATCCTTAATTCGGCCCATTACCCGGAGTGAAGCTTTGAAGAAATTCTCCAGTGTTGACAGAAACTTAATTTTAATATCGGTCTGTCCACCTTTTTCCTCATTTCCCGTCCCGCCCTCCCCTCCCTGTTCACCAATGGGGATATCACTGTGCCACCTGTGGAGAGAAACATGTGTTAAATCGAAGAGGCAGCTTTCCTCTGCTTACATGCTGCAGGATCCATCCCTTCACTCACCAGGATAGCCTACCAACCTGACAAGAGCAAGAAATTGAGCTGTCTTTATTTATTAACAGATGCTTAAATTTGAACTGCCATCAAATATAGTTAAATGCATGTAAGCACGTAGGTAACAGAGGACTTCATTGGTTGTTTTGCCTGAGAGGTTCAATAGAACCGCCTAGTTTTCTCAGTCTCCCACACAAACTTACCTGCACTAACTAGAAAGTCCAGTTTCTCCAGCAAGTCCTAGAGAACACCGGAGAGTCCTGGAGGCAACATGGACCTGGACAGGTAAGACATATTACATTCATATTGCGAGCAATAACCTCTGTCAGTTTTACTGCAACATTTACTAGTGCTTAGGAATATTTTAGATGTCTTTTGTCTCTTTGTTCTCTCATAGCCTGACATGTATTTAATAGGAAGGAGTCTTATCAAGCTGTGGTACTACATATAAAATGAGTTAATTAATTAATCACATAATGAATATAACTATAATAGTAAAGTGTATTTTTTAAAACCTAACTGTAATTGAATGGGCTCTAGTTAAGCGATATATTTTTGATATGTTCAATTATTAGTAGAAAAACCTTTTACTTTACAGTAAATAAAAATACTGTTGAATGTTTGCTCTTCTTGCTACCCTCCCTGAATGATTACAAAATATATATATTTAGAAATAACTCTTGTGTCAGCCTGATGTTTACAGAACACGTTTTTGTTGTGTATTTATAATATACTGAAGTGAACATAACATAAACTCCCCTCACATAGAGCGGACAATTACATTGAAGTTTGGTGAGAAACAGCCTGGGGCACAATTGGTGGCTTGGCAGACGCAGCAGCTGGTAATGACAGACTGGCTTTGCAGTGACAACATGGCTTGATCTCTCTCTTCCCGTTGTCCTGTGGCCCTCTCAGTAAACGGTTGGTGGTGGTGGTACCAAATGAAGTGCTGGCGCCGTCTCGCAGAGTGTTCAGTGGCGAGGATGAGGCGTGGAAGAGCTACCTAGAGAACCCCCTGACTGCTGCCACCAAGGCCATGATGAGCATCAACGGAGACGAGGACAGTGCCGCAGCTCTGGGACTGCTGTACGAATACTACAAGGTGTGGAAAGTGTGACATCACAGCCAATTTACCAATGACATAACTGGGCTTGACAATAACAGTTTCCAGGTTGCCTTTGTAAACTTTTAAAATAAATTTGCAAACAATTACTGGCCTATGGTTGACATCAGTGGCAAATATGGACTTAAAAATACATACTGTATGTGGTGTTACAGTCCGAACTCAAACCAGACAACGTTGCATATGCGTTTACTCTTGTGCACTTACTGTGCTCACTAATTGACATGTTTGATGACTGTATGGTTTCTCATTTATTCCAAATATAAAGTGACTAAATACATTCTGATTTGTTTTTAACACGTTTTGTGTGTTTGCTTTAACCCTATCAGGTTCCCAGAGAGAGGAGAGGGGGCCCCAGCGGAGTCAAACCCACAGACCCCTCTGCTGATGGGCCAGATGACGGCGGCAGCTTGGAGATGTTAGATCCCCATGTTCAGGCTCTCAGATCCATGCCTGTCAACCTCTCACTAAACAACAGCAACACTGCAGAACACCAGGGCTCCAGGTTTGGAGAGACCAGAGGAGGAAATGGTAAAGGTGGTTCAGCTCTGCCTCTGGTCAAGACCGAGGGCCACACATCTATGGGAGTTCCCTGCTTTGGAGGTTCCTACAGAGAAGAACCCAGAGAGCAGACAAGGATGGTTCACGAGCAGAGCCACTACTATCTGTCCCATGCTGGGTTCTTGAAAAATGAACAAAGAAGCAATCCAGACAATATATATGAGGACGCTGTGGAAGGAGAGGTGAGACTTGTCATACAAGGGGGTGAGGTGGAGGTGATCATGTGTCTCGCTTTGTAAACCAGGATCCCATTTGTAGGATTGTTTTGCTCCATCAGTGGCAGTATGCAGCATTTCTTCTTCTGAAGCACAGTACATATTCTTCTTTAACAGATGTACAACAGAAGTCCCTCCTCAGGAGATGAATTCCACTACAGCACACCGACGTAAGTCAAAATTCACAGATAGGTACAAACGTTAAACCTACATATTTTTCAGGGACATAAGCACAAAATGAAAATGAAAATGTTGAGAAATTAATATCACAATAGAAAAGATATAGAAATATGAAAATCATCATATTGCCCAGCATGCATGGAGGAATGAGATATATCAAGCTTTCAATACTCACAAAATACTTTTTGGTTCCGGGATTTTCCTGGGTATTTGCCGACAAAATAAAAAAAAATACCAGACTTGTCAAATAAAGAGTTGCTGTTCTATGAGAGAACCTTTTAATACATAACAAAATCAGTTTGTTTAGAGCCTCATGGTCCATTTCTTGCTTTCTTTGAATGCTGTTTGTTCTTGTACCAAGAGATACTGTATTTTTATTAAATCTGCTCCTCACATGTTCATGTTCAGTGACGACTTCCAGTACTGTCTGGAGGCCAGCATGTCGCTGAGGCCGCGGCAGGGGGAGGGGCCCATGGCCTACATGAACCGGGGACAGTTCTACGCTTTGACACTGTCCAAGGCCAACTTCAAATCGTCAATAAATCAGCCCAAAGGCAAAGTGCGGGTGAGTGGACCAGCGCCTGATGGGGGCCCATCTAGTAATGAGCAATGTGCCAGGGGAGGCTCTGAGCTGCAGCGGGACAGTATTGTTCAGGTGAGGGAGGAGGGGGGGTCATGGAGAGGAAGCGTAGGTTACAGTTCAGGGTTTTACTTTCAGCTTATTGTTGAGGAGCTTTAAATCTTGTTAAACTTACAAATGTAATATTAGTTTTTATAAATTGTTACTCCTTTGAACTTGTTTTAATGTATTATATCTTGTATACATGTGTTTCTACTTCAGAGTGTTATCATGGTTGTCTTTGGAGAAGACCAGTGCAGAGACGAGCAGCTGAAGAATTGGAAATACTGGCACTCCCGCCAGCACACTGCCAAACAGAGGGTCCTGGACATCGGTGAGCTCTTCCTGCTACACTCATGGCTTGATGGGGTTTTAAGTAAAACTGGAATTACTAAATTACAAAAGGAATTGAATGTCACACTTACAGATATTATGACAGCAGAGCTCCACAAAACCAGAGAGTTAAAAAGAGAGTAAGTAGGTGGTAAACCTGGAGGAGCCTTCAGCAGGATCCTGTCACATATCCTGAGGGGAAACCCGACACAATTTGAATAACTGTCAATCCACGATTCCCACAAGAGCACTATGAATAAACAGCCAATGGGTCTGCATTTGCATAGACGTTAACGGGTGAAATAGGTGGGGGCCTGGACTGAAGCCAGAGGCAGGCCTCAACCTGTGGTTGAAAACTTGATGGAATGTGGCAGAGGTATCAGACTCTGGTGGTTTTGTCTGTTGTAAGTTCATGCCAGAATAGTATTAACTTTAAAATATATAATCTTTCTTATGTGGGTGAAAATAGGCCCATTTGATGAGGAGTTGAGACTTTTTGGAGGTAACAATTTCAATGTTGGAATGTTTGCTAATTTGCAACTTGATTTGTTGGCTAAATTGTTTGACCGAAGAAATATGATAGATGAACTTAAACATAAATGATGAATGATGAACTGGAAATGAAACCAGATGTTGGTAGTAGTTCCATTTTCATTAAAAGAAAGGGCTCGAGTTCCAAAGGGGTAAAGTTCTCTAATATTTCCCAAAAAGCAAAGAGTAAACATAAATAGTTAGTACATCCCCTCCGACTGGTTTTGTGACCTTTTTAGAGAGACAGATCTTCAGGGTATAGGAACCACGAGTCTCAGCTGCCAAAAAGTATAACGGTTCCACCATGCAGCTACACAAAATAAAACCGCCTGCTTATGCTTAATAATGAGTAAAATATATTCTGTTGTTGTTTGTAGGGATATCACAAGTACCTCGTCGATGCTAACATTTAAAAAAAACTTGACAGTAATATTTTTCCTACAGAACTGCATGCACCATAATATTTTGTAGTGCCATCAGGACTCAAGACTAGTGGCGTTCTGTCCCCCCGTGGCAGATGGAACCTGTGTTGGGGCGCAGAAATCTCACTATCTATTCATCCAGGGGACGCACCTCTTACAAAGAAATGAACAGTCTATACTTTTAATGGTAGGTTTATTTTAACAGTGAGAGTAAGAATATCAAAAGAAAATCCAGAAATGGACATTATATGAAAGATCAAAATTGATTTGCATTTAAGTGTGGGAAATAAGTATTTGATCCCCTTGCAGAACATGTGTTAGTACTTGGTGGAGAAACCCTAGTTGGACACACAGAGGTCAGACGCTTCTTGTAGTTGGTCTCCAGGTCTGTGCACATCTCAGGAAGGATGTTGGTCCACTCCCCTCTGAAGACCCTCTCCAAATCCTGAAGGTTTTGAGGCTGATGCTTGGCATCTGGAAGCTTCATCTGCCTCCACAGATCTTCTATGGGATTAAGGTCCGGAGACTGGCTAGGCCCCTCCATCACCTATATGTGCTTCTTCTTTAGACACTCCTGTGTTGCCTTGGCCGTATGTTCAGGGTCATTGTCCTGCTGGAAGACCCCTCCATGACCCATTTTCAGTGTCCTGGCTGAGGGAAGGAGGCTATCGGCCAAGATTTTACGGTGCATGGCCGAGAAATCTTAGTAAATCTCCACCTTTACTTCCCTGCATCCTCTCCTCGATGCAGGGAAGTCCTCCTGTCCCCTTAGCAGAGAAACACCCCCAAAGCAGAATGTTTCCACCTCCATGCTTGACGGTGGGGATGGTGTTCTGGGGTTATAGTCAGCATTTCTCTTCCTCCAAACACGGCGTGTCGAGCTGATGCCAAAGATCTCGATTTTGGTCTCATCTGACCACATCACCTTCTCCCAAGCCTTCTCTGAATATTCGGATGTTCATTGTCAAACTTCAGACGGGCCTCATGTTCTTCTTGAGCAGGGGGCCTTCAGGCGCTGCAGGATTTGATCCATTATGGTGTAGTGTGATACCAATAGTTTTCTAGGTGACTGTGGTCCCAGCTGCCTTGAGATCATTAACAAGTTCCTCCCGTGTAGTTCTTGGCTGATCCCTCACCTTTCTCATGATCATCATACCCCCACGGGGCGAGATCTTGTGTGGAGCCCCAGACCGAGGGCGGTTGATTGTTGATTGATGCCCATTTTACTTTTCTTCCATTTTCAAATGATCGCACCAACAGTTTTCTCCTTCTCACCAAGCTACTTTCTGATGGTCTTGTAGCCAATCCCAGCCTTGTGCAGGTCTACAATCTTGTCCCTGAGGTCCTTAGACAGCTCTTTAGTCTTGCCCATGGTGGAGAGGCTGGAATCTGATTGATTGATTCTGTGGACAGGTGTCTTTTATACAGGTAACAAGTTGATACGAGTACATTTTTTAAAGGAAGAGGACTGATGTAACCGGTCTGTGGGAGCCAGAATTCTTGTTGGTTGCAAGGGGATCAAATACTTATTTCCCACAGTTAAATGCAAATCAATTTATATCTTTTATATAATGTCAATTTCTGGATTTTCTTTTTGATATTTTTACTCTCATTGTTAAAATAAACCTACCATTACAATTATAGACTGTTAATTTCTTTGTAAGTGGGTAAACTTACAAAATCGGCAAGGGATCAAATACTTATTTCCTCCACTGTATATAACTTAAACATTTTATTTTTAACATCATGATCTGTGTGAAATTTTGGGCAACTTGAACAAAATATAATTTCACAGCTATTCAAAAAAAGATATTGGCGAGGGAACTATGATCTTTTAAACTATCAACAGAAACCAGTATGCAAAAGGGACTGTTGAATTGTTTAGGATTAATGACTGTTTTTCAGTGTTAGCGTAGAGAATTGTGGAACTTACTTGGTTTTGGTGTCGGTGTTGGTGAGTCCAACATCCACTGAAACAGTTCTCTCTGTTCTTCACTCTACATGCAGCTGACTACAAGGAGAGCTTCAGCACGATTGGGAATGTGGAGGAAATTGCCTACAATGCTGTCTCTTTCACATGGGATGTCAGTGAAGAAGCTAAGGTACAAAGCAACAGAAGTATAGGGTAAGGTGCTGTTTAAAATCAAAGCAAGAAATGATTGATCTACAAACACACATTTAAAATACAATCGCTTTCACTATTGATTATTTTATTTACTCTTACATGCACTAAGGCACATGACTTGTTGGTTTTGTCATTTACTTTCTTTGTGTAATTAAAAAATCAGAGCCTCCTGGAGATTGCTCCATGAAACCGCAGAATAGTCAGAGAATGCTAAGGGGTGACAGAGGGAGCATCAGACCGGGGACACATTTATGTATAAAAGACATAAAAAAGTGCATTTTGCATGATAGACCTTTAACACACACATCATTATTTCAGCTGTGGAACAATAACTGCTTCAGCTGTGTTTCGTTAAGCAGTACTCCAAGTAAAAGGCCACAAAGAAAATCCAAAGGTTAAAATGTTCTATTTGTCATATGCACAGTTACAGTGTAGTTGTGCAATGAAAATCTTGAATCACAGGTTCCTCCAACAATACATAAATGTAGATAAGACATAAAACAACGACTAGAAACAAGACCAAAAAAAACAATACAATAGTGCAAGCAGTTTGGGAAACAAAAGTTTTGCCCAGTGAAATAAATAGTTTCCAGGTTTCTTTTTCATTCAACTGTTGACAACACTACTTTGAGCAGGTCCATTATTTTCTGTTGCAACACTCAATCTAGATAGCACTTACACAGCATTCATGTTTTCTTTTTGCATGTTTCAAGATAAATAAATATTATTTCAAATAAAAAACTCTTTATAGTGTATATTGTGGCGAACAATGGGAATGGTCTAAAAAATAATATGGAAGGTGGAATTGGAAGGCTCATTGTCGGGTAGTGGAGCACTTCATCCTCTTGTGGCCGACATAAGGATCACACAATAATAACTAGAAAATGCATTTCCTGCTGAAAATGCGTGCGAATGATGTAAGCTGCGTACATTTGTTGCTGAATTTAGCTGAAAATGCAGAAAAAGCAGAATATTGTATTAGTTGAAGGGTCTCTGTAGCTGCTTTTTATTTACAGAAACCAAGTAAGTGTGTTGCTGAACTTAGTGGGAAAATGCAGAAAAGTGAAATGATTTGAATCAAAATAGTTGAAGCTCAAATTCAGGGCACTGATTTTGTTGGAAAACTTTAAAGTGGAATGTTAAACTGGAAGAGTAGGAAAAATAGGGATGAAGCTTAAGAAACAACAAAATGTATACCCTCAATGTCCTGAAATAGCTGAATAATTTAATAGTTGAATTTCTGTAGCTGAAAGTAGGCTGAAGGAGTTATATATCTACTGTTGTTGTAGTAGTAGTAGTTGTTGTTGTAGTAGTGGTATGAGTAGTAGTGGTGTTAGTGGTATAAGTAGTACTTGTATAAGTAATAGTTGTGTGTGTGTGTGTGTGTGTGCGTGTGTGTTAATATTCTAGGGCTTTTATTTTGAAAAAACATCCCTCTTCCAGCACTTCCTGTAACGATACAGGAAAACTATAGGGCTTTTATTTTGAAGGGGTGTGTGGTTTGGGGGATACATGAGAGTAACACATGCGTCACTTCCGGGCAAAAATTACGGCTCTGCCCACTTTTGGGGGAAAACAAAGCTGTCATTTGAATGGCGGTCAATACAAATTCTGAAGTTTTTGCCAATCCGATCAGAAATTTAAGAAAACCGTGGATTTTTGGATATTCAAAGAGCCCGATTACAATGGCCAGACAGGCAAAGAATTACATAAAATTGTTGGAAATTGACGATCGGTCTCGATATATGGTTAAATATAGTAGTAGGCGATCGATGTCCATTGAGTAACATCTACGTCACTTTACGGCCCCACCCACTTTTGGGGGAAAACAACGCTGTCATTTGAATGGCGATCAAGCCTGAAGCCACAGAGCTCTTCTTTAACTGTCCTTTTTTCTTAGAGGAAGTACAGAAAAACTTAACTCTGGATTTTTTTTAATGTTTGAGGTGCAATAAACGACACAGCAGCTTTTTGGCATGATAAAACTACAGCTCACAGTCCAAGCCCCTACTGACTGAGCCACTGCCAGACATACCGTAAATGTGTGTGCAGTGGCGAGCCGTGACTTTTATACCTAGGCCCTCTGACCCCCACCCCTTCCCTCCAAAAAAAAAACGTCACAGCGTATACTTCAGCGGAATATCAAAACAACGGCCCGGGGTGCAAAACGCATCAATGAAAGCAACCCTCTACCACACAAAACAACACCTGTAAATAACCCAATTTGTGTTCTTTGACATTGAAAATGATATTGCATTGTGTTTGTTACTTTCGTTGCAGTTGTGTGTCTTAAGTGTAATTTGGCATGCTTTTATTTTGAAGGCGAGTTTACGCTGTTGACAGGAAGTTGTTGTTGCTATGTAAACAAGAAAAGCTTCACAGCGGGCGGAACTTCTCATAAAGTCCGCGATAATAAAACCCACCCATTTAGAGGGAAGATATGATTGGTCAATTGTACTGTCGTTTGACATTACTCACTCGTTCAGTTACTATAGCTGGCCCTCTGTGAATTTACAGCAGGACCACCAATCAGCTCCTGTCTTCACCTCGCAGAGACGAGCTTCTTTCATTTAACCCTTCACATTCAAACAGAAACTGAATAGGCAGATTCGAAGGATTTATTTATTTGGAAATGTTATTTTAAATACAATTAAATCAAGTTATTTTGGTAAAACTAATGAAAAATATAACTAAAAAAATATATATTTTTAATGTTTTTAAATATTATTTTGTAGAATATCTTAGGCCCTCAGAGAGGGCCTAGAGGGCCCTGACGGCTCGCCACTGTGTGTGTGTATATATTGATAGAGATTTTGGTCCATATTGACATGATAGCATCACGCAGTTGCTGCAGATGTGTTGGCTGCACATCCATGATGGGAATCATTGGTTCCACCACATCCCAAAGGTGCTCTAAAGCAGTGGTTCTCAACTGGTCAGGCCTCGGGACCCACTTTTTACTTTGTCAATAAATCGCGACCCAACATTTTGAACCACTCAAATCTATTCAACAAAAAATCGTGCTGTAATATATATATATATATACCCTTTTCAGCATACAATATTAATTAAAGTGAAGTACAGTGCATATATCCCTTATATCCCTTCACAGAACTAAAGTATGCTTTTAAAAAAGGTTTAATGAGATGATGGAATCAAAGCTGAACTGTATCACATAAAAACGTGACATGCTGAAAACCCAACCGCAGAAAGGGGGCCTGGGGGAATTCTCCCCCTGGAGATTTTTAGAAATACTAACATATAAACTACGCATTCTGGTACACTCTGAGAAGAAAATAAATAAATCTATTACTACCCGACATATTAATAATATTTTATGCCATTGTTTGTTTTTCACTTTGTTCTGACAGCTGAACTTGTCTGTGTGAATTACTTTGTGGGTAAGGGTAGATAGCCCCCATTGTTCTGTGACCTGTCAGTCATCGAACCGGGGGTAATATTTCATTGTGTTCATTTTTATCTGAAGTTGTACCCATGGATGTATACTCCACCGCAGATTCCCGACGCATGTAGCAAGGCCTGCAACACATCACAAACTACCAGCAGAGAAGCGGGGGTGTCACAACCAGCCAACCCACACTGCCAGATGAGTTAAATTAGTTCTATGCCCGCTTTGAGGCCCTCAACACCAACCAACAGAGAGGGATTGTGACCACAGAGCGCACACAGGACTCACCACTCACTGTGACATCAGCAGAGGTGCGTACGGTTCTGAGGAGAACAAACCCACGGAAGGCACAGACAACATCTCCGGGCGTGCCCTCAGGGTCTGCTCATCAGAGCTGGCTGATGTGCTTGCAGACATTTTTAACCTGTCTCTAGCACAAGCTTTTGTGCCCACACACACATACACACATACACATACACAACCACCATAGTGCCCCTCCGAAAGAAAAACACTGTGACCTGCCTGAATGACTATCGTCCTGTTGCACTACAGCTCAGCCTTTAACACGGTCATCCCACACAAACTCTCTGCTAAGCTCCTCACTCTCGGACTGACACCTGCTCTCTGTAACTGGGTGCTGAACTTTGTGTCAGACAGACCCCAGTCAGTCAGAGTTGGCAACCGCACGTCAGGCACTAAAACTGTAAGCACAGGGCTGCATGCTGAGTCCCCTGCTGTACACCCTCTTCACACACGACTCTGTGGCCTCCCAGAGCAACACCTGTATCGTCAAGTTCGCAGATGATACGACTGTCATTGGACTGATCACCGGTGGGGCTGAGGCAGCGTACAGAAGAGAGGTAGCGGACCTGGTGACCAGGTGTTAGCACAATAATCTCTCCCTGAATGCAGACAAGACGTACATAGGTGAGACAGAGGTGGACAGGGTGAAAACCTTTAAATTCCTCGGAACCCACATCAGCGAGGATCTCACCTGGTCTCACAATGCACAACAGAATATAAAAAAATCCCAGCAGCGACTGTACTTCCTAAGGAGGCTGAGAAAATGTGGCATGCCATCCAAAATACTCAGCAACTTCTACAGATGTACAGTTGAGAGTGTCCTTACCAGCTCCATTACAGTCTGGTATGGAAACTGCACTGCTCAGGACAGGAAGGCACTCCAGCGTGTGATAAAAACTGCACAGTACATCTCAGGAGCAGCCTTCCCCTCACTTCAAAACATTTACACCACCAGGGTCACCAGGAGAGCACACAACATCATCAGGGACAGTACACACCCCCAGCACAGACTCTTTACTCTCCTGCCATCAGGCAAGCGCTACAGGAGTCTGAAATCCAGGACCACGATACTGACAAACAGTTTCTACCCACAGGCCATCAGGCTGATGGACATGCTACCCCCCCCCCCACCACAAACACACACTGATTGAACTGTGAGTGCTACACAGACACACTGACACTCACCATTTGCACTACCTACTTTAACAATGCATAGTGCACTTGTTGTCTGCCGTGCAATATTTTATACACTGTGAACCATGTGC